GGGGGGGGGGGGGGGAAGCGCGGCCAACGATTGTGGGCTCGGCCAAATCGAGGCCGAGGGTCGTACAGACCGGCTACCCATTCGCTCGGCCATATTGGATGCCGACCCGCGTCCGCACTGTTTTTCTTTTTCGCCGAACCCCTTCGCCGGTCAAGTCGGGCTCAGCCTTCCACACGACACGACACGAGGGCCAAGCGCAGGCCATGCCTTCTGCTGCTGTTGCTGTTGCTGTTGCCTGCTGTGTGGAGAGAATGTCGTGCCTCCCCGGGGTTTCTGTCCGGGCTAGTGCGCCGATGTGGTTTCGCGAGAGGAGTGTGAATGGTCGTCGGGCTCCGTTATAACTGGCTGCAAATTGCTTGGGTTGGAGCTGCCCTCCTTCGTGCCTCAAAACAACCCTCAAGCGACGTTGAACAATGGCAGGATCATCCCACGAAGTACAGCCGTCGGCGGCCAAGGAAAGCAAGGTCAAGGGGCCAATTGTGCTGCCCTCGCACCAGCTGCCGGAGCGATTCTACAAGGGAGGACCGCGCATCTCGACGTTCCGTGGCGAGGCGTCCAAGAGCGATCGCGAGCCGGAAGACTGGGTGGCCTCGACGACGTGCTGTGCTGGCTACGACACTCTGGGACTGACGCGTCTTCCGACCACCAACACGCTTCTCGCCGACGAGATCCGCAACGACCCGGCTGCATGGCTGGGCGCAGAGCATGTCGCCAAGTATGGAGCGGACACCAAGCTGTTGATCAAGCTGCTGGATGCGGGGCAGCGACTGCCCATCCATGCGCATCCCCACGTCGACTGGGCACGCGTGCACGTGAAGCGCAACCACGGCAAGGCGGAGGCCTGGCACATCCTCGCACCAGGCCGTGTCTACCTCGGCCTCAAGCAGGCGGTTTCGGCAGAGCGCATGCTGGAGCTGGTCGACAAGCAGGAGATCGAAACGATGCTCGCAATGATGTACGAGGTGGATGTCGAGGCGGGAGACACCGTCTATGTTCCGCCCGGCCTGCTGCACGCCATCGGAGAGGGCATCCTGCTGGTCGAGGTGCAGGAGCCTGAAGACATGTCCATCCTGCTCGAGTGGCGCGACTTTGAGCTCGACGGACAGGCAGATGGACACCTCGGCCTCGGATTCGAAAAGGCCATGACTGCCGTCACTGTGGATGGCCTCTCGGAAGAGCAGGTGTCGGAGCTGGTGGTGCGATCCAAGGGCCGAGCCTCGACCAACCTGCTGCCTACAGAGGCACTTGAGTACTTCCGCATGGACAAGATCGACAGCAACGCTACAGTCGAGCCTAGCTTTCAGCTTGCCGTCGTCCTTCAAGGGCAGGTCGAGGCTAGTGTCCAAGGCAGCTCACCCACTGTCCTTCGCGCGGGGACCACTACGCTCTTCCGACACGCCGATGGTCCCGTCAGCTTCGCGATGGCTAACGACGCCCAGTCGTCGCTTGTTTTGATCCGTCCTCCGCAATAGATTTCGTTTTCTGGCAGACGTACTCGCCACCCGTGCGCGTATGAGCTTGGGTGCGGAGTCAATCTTCGGCGACGTGCGGAAGCGGCGATGTTGCGGATGCGGCGGCGGTCTTGATGGGTGTATCCATCCCTGACGAGCGAAGAAAAAGGTGGATTGTGTTAGACCGGCCCCGACACTCTCCCAAAGAATCCGCGATTGACCGGTTAAGGCTGCACGTTTTGATTGCCGAAGCGGACCGGAGGTGAAGGTGAGGTTCAGGGTCGTACAGGCAAAGCGCACGGCCACTGTCTCGGTATCGACAACATCCTTCGGCCCCAAGTGCGACCATACACCAGCGCAGTCGCAACAATGCCAGCTCGAGAGGAGGACCTGCTGATCCTGTCGGTGCAGCCAGGCATCAAGATCGTCGGCATCCTGCAGCGCAAGAACATCGAGGCGTCCACCTCGTCGCAACGCCGCCCCATCGCGCTCATCCTGCACGGCCTGCTGGCGCACAAGAACCAGTGCTACCATCGTGCGCTCGCCGATGCGCTGTCCATCGACTCGTTGCGCTTCGATTTTCGCGGCAACGGCGACTCGCACGGCGACTGGACGCTGGGCAGCCTCGACAACGATGTGACCGACCTGGCGACGGTCGTGCGCCACCTCCATCATCAGCTGGGCTACAAGATCGAGCTTATCGTGGCGCACTCGCGCGGATCCATGGTCTCGTGGATGTACCTCTCGCGCGGGCCAGAGGTGCTTCGTGCAGATATGGGCAGCGCTGGCGTTCCCAACCTTGCCGTCGTCTCGGGTAGGTGGTTCATGGACGGAGTGCTCGAGACGTACGCACGCTTCCAGGAGGGTTTCAAAACGGACGGCTTCTATCGCTGGAAGTTTACGAGTGCAGGCAAGAAGCGAGAACACATCGTATACCCCAAGGACCTCGAGGACATGGCGGCGATCAAGGAGCCCAGAGACTACGTCGCCCGCGTGTCGCCAGACACACAAGTGTAAGTTGCACAGCACCGCCTTGGGTCCATCTCCACCGAGCTTCGAACCGAGCTTCGAGCTAACTTTTGCTTCTATGTTCATTTCGGCATGGCTGCAGCCTCATCCTTCACGGCACGGCAGACCAGATTGTGCCGGAGCGCGATGCACACACGTATCTCGCCGCGCTCGACTCGAATCCTGCGCGCACACCGGGCTCGCACCAGCTTCATCTCATCCAGGGCGCCGACCACATGTACAGAGGTGCCACGCAGCCCGTCGTCGAGCGCATCTGCAGCTGGTATGCACAATCGCCTCGTCACGCAGCCGCAGCATCAAGCTCCAAACTCTAGAAGACCGAGCCACGACCGTCCGAAATGAAATCTTATCCTCCCCACCAGTGTCCGTGTGTCGGCTTTCGACTCTGTCATCCTTGACTAGTAGGCGAGAGGGGGATGAAGAAGGTATAAGAGCCTGTTCTTGCCGCTTTTGACGCACGTCCATCCAGCCCCCAAACCTGTACCTTGATACAAATCCTTGCCGTTCTTAGCGCGACCATGCCTCGCAACACCTCCGCCGCGTGCCTGCTCTTTGTGCGCATCTGCCAGCTGCGAGTCGATGGCAAGAACGTGGGCGATCTCGTGGACCGCATCCAGACGCTCTCGCTCGAGTACCAGCAAGCCTCGGGCAGCGCTGTGGACGACGATGCGCTCATGGCCATCCTCATCAACCAAGCCATGCCCATCCCCGAGTACCACCTCGTCGTCAAGGAGCTCACCGAGTCTGGCCGTCTGACCGACTACTACACGCTCGCCTCTGCGCTCCAGAACCGCTGGAAGCAGATCCGTTGAGGTCTTTGCCGGCTGCCCGAGCGCACTCGTACCCATTTACACTGCCGACAGAAGCATCTCGATCGAGCTGATTGCAATGCATCTGTGCGCATACTTTGTTGACTGAGCATCGGAGGATCGGGTCGAGCCAACGCCAGATTGCGGACGAATGTCAGCATGTCGCGTGATCATGTAGTGTGCTGCAGGCTGTCTCTAGGTGCATTGTATGCGCACTGCCATCTAATCGCACCTGCACCAACGCCCTGCAGTCCGGAGTTGACGGGCCTCGGCTGGTTGCAACGGCGTCTTGCAAGGGTCATTGACCGTGCAACGATAGATCGCACCGATGCCGAGCTTGAGCACCTCGGACACCAGTCTTCCGAGCCGCTCATCATGCTCAATCGTTCGGCCCTCGCATCGACTGGCTGCGTGCAAAGGCTGCGAGTACCCGATTACCGCTTAGCAAGCGTCGCATCCGCGCCACCGAATCATCCTAGAGCTGTTCGTTCGTCGCATCAAGCCAACGTTTCGAGTCAGCGAGTCAGAGATTGAGTCCGTGCAGTCAAGCTGTATGAGGATGGGTTGGAGAAAGGATGAGGAGAATCTTATAGCTTGGGCCGACGGAGGATGGTACAGATTTAGCAAGCTGGTTGAGGAGCGCGAACAAAGGCAGCTAAGCGAGCATGGTGGGATCGGCTATGCTCGACGTGCAGCGCCAAGAGTCGCAGCGTTGGCCATTAGCCGACGTCGTCGTGCGCTACCACGCTCGCCCGCCTGCAACCCCATGCGCACTCGCGTGGTGGCCCCCAGCAGTCGATGCGAATAGCCGGCTAGCTCGTTATGGAAAGGCCTCTTCCGTACAGCATCAAATGTCTTGGCAAATGGACCCTTCCACTTCTGCCGCCGCCGCCGCTGCTCTCTTGATCCAATGGCAGGCCGTCAAGATTGTCCCCTTATCTCGTCCCCGCAGTGCATCTGCCTCCACTTGGGCGCCAGCGCCCCCTCGCCCTGTCTCATCTTGTGTTTGCCGGTGTCGGATGCACGGCGCCCCCTTCAGCCTTTGGCCCCACTGTGACCAGCTGATCATCCTGGACATGGCTGTGAAGTGGGCCCAGCCGAGCTGAACCGCTTGCATCGGCACACCTTCTCCCGCTTGCTCGTTGACGCCTGAGCCTGTTTCTTCTCAATCTCGCGCACGACATCCGCGCAGCTCCTCTCGTCCTGACTCTCCATAAGCTCGGAGGTCAGCAGCCGTCGTTCGTCTAGGCAGATCGTCTCGTCCTTTGTTGTACAATGTAGAGCACTTGTCGGAATGCATATATAGCAGCCGACGCTCGATCCCTGCTACTCGGAAAGCATCCTTCGATCATCCTCTCCTACATCTTCCCCCACGTCGTACCACTGGCATCATGCTCAAGTTCAGCCTGCTCCAGCTCACCACGCTCGCACTCGTGCTGCTTGGCAGCCAAGAGGCATTCGCCGCTCCAGGCAAGAAGCGCCCTGTCGAAGCCGTAAGTTTCTTTCAGCAGGCCGTCGCGATGTTGAACCGCTCGCTCACCACCGTCCTCCTTTTGCAACAACAGAAACGCCTCCGCAACGATGTCAAGCGCAAGGATCTTCTCGACGGCGCCAAGAGGCTGCAGGAGATCGCCTACGCCACCACGGAGCGCAACCGCGTGTTTGGCTCGCCCGGGCACAAGGCGACGGTGGAGTACATCCAGAGCGAGCTGCGCAAGGCGGGCGACTACTACGACGTGTACCTGCAGCCCTTCACGGCGACGTACGCCGAGCACTCTGCCGAGGTGGCGATCGACAACAAGGCGGTCGAGTCCAACACGTTCACCTACTCGCCCAACGGCGAGTTCAACGATCTCGAACTCGTGCCCGTCAACAACCTCGGATGTGACCAGGCCGACTTCCCCGCGAGCGTCGAGGGCAAGATCGCACTGATCAAGCGAGGCACTTGCGCATTCGGCATCAAGGTCGCACGCGCGGGCACGGCCAAGGCGGCTGCAGTGCTCATCTACAACAATGCGCCGGGCGATGTGTCGGGCACGCTCGGCAGCGCCGGACCTACGCCCGAGGGCCCCTTTGTGCCCGTCGCCGGCGTCGACCAGGAGACCGGTGACGCTCTTGCGGCTCGTCTGGCTGCGGGCGAAAAGGTGACGGCCGACATGAAGCTCGAGGGCGTCATCGAGGACCGCACCACGCACAACGTCATCGCCGAGTCGCGCGGCGGCTCCAAGGACCAGGTCCTCATGCTGGGTGCGCACTCGGACAGCGTCACCGCCGGTCCCGGTATCAACGACAACGGATCCGGCTCGGTTGCGCTGCTCACCGTCGCCAAGAACCTGGCCAAGTACAGCGTGAACAACGCCGTCCGCTTTGCCTGGTGGTCCGCCGAAGAGTACGGCCTGTTGGGCGCCGAGCACTACGTAGGCGAGCTCTCGCAGGAGCAGAAGGACCAGATCCGCATCTACCTCAACTTTGACATGATCGCCTCGCCCAACTATGTGCTGAGCGTGCACGACGGCGATGGCAGCACCTTCAACACCACCGGCCCTGCCGGATCGGCGCAGGCCGAGGCGATGTTCTTTGACTTTTTCAAGAACGTCGCCAAGAAGCCGCTGATCGAGGGACCCTTCGATGGCCGCAGCGACTACGGTCCGTTCCTGGACGCTGGCATCGCTGCTGGCGGTCTCGACACTGGTGCCGAGGGTCTCAAGACCGAGGAGGAGGCCAAGCTGTTTGGCGGCGAGGCGGGCATCGCATACGACCCCAACTACCACGCGGCTGGCGACACCATCGACAACCTCGCCATGGAGGCGTTTGAGGTCAACACCAAGGCCATCTCGCACGCCGTCGCGCTCTACTCGACGTCGTTCGACAGCCTCGGCCCCCGCGCCAAGGTGGCAGCCAACCGCAGGGACGTCGTCAAGAAGGTCGACCACAGCAACCACCGATGCGGCGGCGACCTTGCGCTTCTGTGATGTGCTGTACTTGTGTATGAATAGGTTTCCCATAGCAAAGCATACAAGTTTGACGATATCACCATCTGCCAGCCTTGACTTTGAGACCGTACCTTTCAAGCGAGACCATGGCCGAGTATCGGACTGCAATTTGCTGATGGATCAAAGCCTCGAAAACTGAGCCTTAAATTGCGACCCCGAATCTCGCCTGAAAGCTCAGCGATTTATGGCGTTGTGGTGGAGGGTCTAGAAGGTCGAGATGTGCATCTGAGCATACGGCTTTGCGTTTGTCCTTCTCGCCACCACCATCATATGGTCAGCCCAGAACGGCAGCTTAGGCACAGCCGTGTCCCTTCAAGTGTCCCTTCAAGAACCTCAAGATGGACGCTGCTCCGGAACCAAATCTGGAGATCCAGGACCTTGATTCGTGGCTCGCATCGGTAGCCACCACTCTGGCGCCCACGACGCAGTCTGCAGACGCTGCCACTGCGCTTCCCACATGGCTGCAGGAGGCATTGGACGGTGCGGAACCTGGACCTACAGCGGGTCCCTCGAGTGCTGGGCCCTCGACGGTAGCAGACGGATCCACCTCCGAGACATCGGGTCCGTCGAAATCACTCGAAAGGATCCGGCGCAAGAATCGGTTGGCGCAGCAGAGAAGTCGACAGCGGCGCAGCGAGCATGTCAGGGAGCTTGAAGACCAGGTGCGCCAGCTCCGACAACTGCTCGAGCTCGAACGGCAGCGCAACGCCACGTCCGAGTCGAACCAGTTGACACCATCGCAACGGCGAAACACGGCCTCTCACGGGACGAACAAAGAAGTGCGCGGCTCGGTGAGCATGTCTCGTCTACTCGCCATGCTGGCCGACGGCACCTTGGATGATCGATTTTTCCCGCTGCTTGGACGGCATTTTGACAACTCGAGCATTCACAGGCGATCCGACGGCAGCCTGCGTTCGGCCTTGACCGATCCCGACTCGGCCATATCGTGGCAGGTGTCGTTCAACACGGACAGCAGCAACTTTGCCCGAGCTGCGAGCACGCAGTTGGGTCTTCCGTCGGCGATCGTCATGCCCGAACTGGTGCTGTACAAGGTGTGTCGGTTCTACTTTCGGCTGCTGCTGCCGTTCAGCACGTCGTTCGGAAGCGGCATGGTCAATCTCGCCACGGCCGAGCTCATGCAGGAGCCTGAAAGCGTATCTGCGCGTTGGAATCGCCATCCCTCGGAGGCCAGTCACAGCCTCGACGAGACAGGTACGTTGCCGGAATTGCTCATGCCGACGCGGCTGCAGAGCACGGTGGGTTCGCATCCGATCGAGATTGCCATCATCCCGTTTGCGAGTCTGCGCGATCGATTGCTGCTCACCGTACTCGCCATGAACGGCACACAGAGCTTCGAGGTCGAAGACGCAGCAGGAACGGTATGGCCGGATGAGGACATGATCTACGACCATACTTTCTCGACCAAGCCCAACAGCGGCAAGCCCATCGATCGTGCCCAAACGGTCGGTTCTCGACCGGCTGCACTGAGGAAGGATCCGCTGTGCCCTGCAGCGCGTGCGTGGCTCGACGAGTTTATGGTCGACTTTGTCGGCTCCCTGCGCGTGTGGAACGCCAGCGACGACTGCTTCAACACCACGGCCTTTGAGCTGCGTCCGCAGTTTGTCGCAAAGTATCGCCTCCTCCTCGACGCCGATCTGATCCGGACGAGCAACTTTTGGAGGAGCTCGCGCGGCGAACCCAGTCTACGCACGAGGTAATTCCCATTCTCACACGCATTTCCATCTCACCACAGACCTGGACGCCGTGTGACAGTCATGAGAACGTCGCGAGCATTTCATTGCACGAGCGCAACGTAAGGATCAAGGCGAGGGGCGCTGGGCCACCTCCTCGAGCAGAGCCTCGGCGGCGAGCTTGCCGAGGTTGTTGGAGGCCAAAGGCGAGTCGCCGGTGAGGAGGTAGCGGTCGCGGTGGACCTGGCCGGTGATGGCGTCGTTGATGATCTCGACGCCGAGCTTGCGCACGTGCTCGCCCACCAGCCAGGGCATCTTGCCGGGGATGTAGCCAATGTCGATGTTGGCGCCCTTGTCGAGCGAGTCGGGAAAGCAGACGATCTTGTAGCCGTCGTAAATGTACTTGGCCCCCTGCGGCTTCTCCACGTCGGCGGCGAGCAGGCAGGCGGGGCCGTGGCAGAGCGTGATGAGGAAGCGCTGGTTGGCATCGGCCCATCGCAGCACATCGCCCACCGTCTTGGAGAAGGGGATGTCGTTCAGAACGCCGTGGCCGCCGGGGATGAAGACACCGAGGTAAGGGGTGGCCTTGTCAAAGCCGCTGCCCCACACCTTTTCGAGCGAGAGCGGCGAGCGCAGCTTCTCGGCGTACTTTTCGTAGATTCCCTTGACGGCATCGTCCTCGGTGGGGAAGGCCCACACCTCGAACTTGACAGGGTCGCCCGAGGGCGTGGCGATGTCCACGTCAAACCCAGCCAGGTCGAGGTGGAGCAGCGGCAGGAGCATCTCGACCGGGTGGTTGCCCGTCGAGAAAAACTTGCCGTCGGCCATCTTGAGGTATCGCTCCTGCGAGCCGATCAGCAGGACCTTCCACTTTTTGCCCGTGTAGGCATCGTACTTGGCGCCGTCAAAGTCGGTCTTCGAGGGGACGTACTGCGTCAGCGAGAAGGGCGACGGGAAGAAGGCGTTGAACTCGGCCTGATCGGCCACGGGCTGGCGGTCGTTGGTCTGCGACATGGTCAAAGTTCACTCTGTATCAAGGCACAATGATGCGTGGGAATCTGGCCAAACCCGCGTCGGCTGATCCGATCGGCGCTATATATGCCTGTCGAAACGCGAGAAGGACTAGTCTCGAGCCGTCGAAGCATCGCAAAGTCCGTGCGCCGCTTCGAATGCGGTCAGCGAGCTCCTCAGGCCGACCCGACGCAGACTCTCTCGACTCGCATTCGGCACTTGCTGTGTGAGCAATGGAAGGCGGTGAACCACGCAAGACTGCGAACAATAGAATGTGCACGGCCCTCCAAGCGTCAAGGACAGCATCCGATGATTCGGCTCGGCAGCTGCAGCTGCACCCTGTTGAGTCAGCCCCCGGCTATGCGCAGATTCCCCTCATTTCACGCCCCTCTCGCATATTCCGAACCGATAAGACTCGATTTTGGGGGCGAAATTCCACGCAACGTCGGAATTTGCCGAGCAACGGGATCCGCTGCCGCAACGTTGACTCAACCCAGTCTAAACCCCGGCCGTTGAGTCAAGCGGGTTGAGTCAAGAAAAAGTGACAGGCTCGGCACCGGATGCGGGAACCCCCGATGCCTAGTCTCAACCATGGCTGCGGCTCCAACATTCAGACGCGTCACCCTGCGAGGAATCAACCCGAGCGAGCGGCGCAGGCATGCACGGTCGCGGATGCGCACCTCGCCAGCATACGCCCAGATGGCCTAGCGCGCGCCCAATATCCGCCCCGTTCTTGACTCACCCGACTCAGCCAGAAGCCAAGTCGGGTCTGAACTGACACCGCGAGCCCCGTTAGGTCCGGACGAGTTCCGGGCGTCAATCTCTAGATCTCTGCACGTCCGGTGGGGTTCCCGTTCGGAGGCTTCCGAGAATCGCCCCAACGCACGCACTTGCAATCCACCAACCGCGCCGTGTGAATGCCCTCGCAAAGCCTCGCCTGATCCGATCGGTATAAACGTCAAGTAACGATTGATGTAGTGAAACAATCACAGGCTGTCAGTCATTCTAGCGACTTGATCCTGCTAGTCCGTACTTCATTTCCAAACCTCTCGTTCGTCACTCTCACGAGCGAGGAGCGATTGTCGAACAATGCTCGCTCTCCATGAACCCTTCTCGATCTTTGAAAGAGGGTGCACATAGTCATGAATGGTAAAATGCTTTCCAAGGTACAAGTTTGCGCTTGCGCTTCTCAATTTTGCCAACGTATCTTCTCGGATGACAAGTAGCCAGTGACACCCATCGGCAATGAGCCAGCCTGGACCATGTTCAATGTGCCGTAGTACTCCAAGGCCTCTGCTCCGTAGAGCTGAACGATCCGCTTCCAGTAGAACGGGGTTCGTGACTTTGTGGCCGCTCGCTGATACGCTAGCCAGCCGTCGACGCGCTGATCATCGAAGATGAGTTCAACGCCAATGTCTTCCTCGGCTCCCTTCAGATCCTCGAGTAGAGTGCTGTAGGCCGAACAAAGCGCAGGCTCCGTCTCTTCGGCATATCGAACGAAGCTTTGGAAGGTCATGAATATGTTGTCTTCGTCGGCCTCGAAACCCCGCGATTTTCGCCTCAGCATGGCCTGGTCCCACCTCTCGACCAGCCGATCGAATCGTTGGCGTGCTCCATACCACGCCTTCTGAACGATCTCGCGGGGAGTATCTTGGGTCTTGACAAGCATCTTGGTGCTGAGCTCTACCAATGGGTTATGGAGGGCCAAACCACCTAACTCGGCGGGGAAATAGACCAGGCTGGCTGGCACGCCCTGCCGATGGCCGAAGCGCTCTTCAATCATGGTTCTTACCATGTCGGTCAAATTGTGATGGCGGCCACCATCTGCTTGCAAGAGACGCTGCTGTGCCACCTCAAATGATAGCATGCAGATGCGAATGTGGTCTGCACCTAGGCATCTTGCTGGTTTGCCGAAATTGTTGACGAAGAAGCTGTTCATGTAGCTGTTCCATACTCGCACCCAAGACATGATGCTCGCCGTTGCATCAAGCTGTAAGCGCATCTCCTGGATATGCAATTCCAGCTGAGCTAGGTCGATGTCCCAGTGGCCATTTTCAGCGGACAGAACAAGAAATCCCCAACGGATCGGATTCCATGGGAGACCACATTCGGCTTGCTGGCCATCATCGTCCTTGGCTTGTGCCGGAAGCACTGGTACGTCTTCTTCCGACAGAGGGCTGGCCGAGCCTTTCAATGAGCATGCTCCCGTCTTATCCATGTTGAGCTCTAGGCCAGTAGCTGTGCAGAAGTCCTGCAGGGTTTTCCAAGCGACGGCGCACTGATCTTGCTGGCCCCAAAACCAAAGGTCATCGTGGATCCGGTAGAGGTAGCCACCGTGCGTGGCTTGATTGACGGCAAAGTCTAATGTCACCAGGACCACCTCGCCAAAGAGCGCACTGATCTGGTGTGCGATAGGCGTACCACAGGACCGTCTGCGACTCTGCACGTCGGCACCATCAGAAGCGAAGGAGACCATGGGCGAGAGGAATTTGGCGAAGAGATCCAACCATTTTTGCGGAAGGCCGAAAAATTTGAGAACCGTGAGGATGGTTGTGTGGGACAAAGATGGGCCGAACCAACGGAAGTCGGATTGCAGCACTGTGAATTGACCGTAGAGGTCACCTTGTATCAGCTGATCGGCGGTGATCATGCGCAAAAGCTGCTGCTTGATGTCGACAAAGGATGTGCCGTAGCCATCATCGTTGTCACCGTCGCAGCCGTTGTCGTACGCCTTGGCAAATGACTTCCGCGTCGTTGGCGAGATGGCCGAAAGCCAGAATCTTTCTTTGAATAGCTTTTTGCGCAAGTAGCTGATGCTGGCCGTCTGCTCTGCCTCGACGCTCTCGTTGATCTGGTAGAATTTCTTGGTGCGAATGCGCTCTTCGTCCGGGGTGGGCTTCCGGCTTGCGCCATGTTTCCATGCGTGGTCAAAGAATTGGGCAAAAGCGGCATGAAAGCTGTTGGACCACATGCTCCCAATGTGGGCAAGGAAGACAGCCTGGTAGACTTCTTCGTCCATGTAGACACGGTATTTCCCGTTGATATGACGACGCATTGTCATCCTCACACCGCCATCAGCCCATTGCCACGACTCAATGTTGTCGAGGTCCTGGTTGAGGATGTCGGCGATCTCGCGTAGAACGCTCTTGTGCGCTTTGAGATCCTGCAGATTGGACCGTTTTCCGGCAGTGTACAAATCGTTTGACAGCACCTCGTCGATGGCATTTCGGACAGCTTGCTCATCGAAGCGTACAAAGATCTTGCTGTCGAGCCCAATCTTCTCTCGCAACTGATCTAGGGCAGAGGAGGAACCCGCTTTGAGGGACTTTGTTGCTGGGGCAAACGTGGCGGTGAGGTAAGCGATCAGCCTGGCCTCCTCGACTGGATCCTGGCGGAAAGCCAAGGCTTCCCACTCCTGACGCTGTTGTTGCAATTCTTCGCGGGCATCCACATTATCGGCGCCATCGTTGTCCTGTTTTCGCTCATGATCGTCAACCCATTGAGCTACCAAGCTTCCGTAGAGCAGTGCGTGGTCGATCTGCCGTAAACGTTGATCGAGTGTAGAGCCCAGCAATGCGCACCAACCCAGGACCATAGAGGGGGTGATGGTACGATCATGCACGGCCTGTACATTCAGTTCTGCGATCAACCTAGGCGTCAAATTGATGTGATTAGGTGATTCCAATCGAGTTTCGTATTCTTCCAACTTTGTATAGATCATCAGTAGAGCTTCGAGCTTGGCTGAGGGCCGATCATCTAGGCTTTTTGCTGCCTCTTCACGTAGACGGTTGAGGCGAGCTCTTTGGGCCTCAAGGTTGTCAAGTTTGCGATGGGTGACATGTTTCAAAGTGCCGAAGATGTTGCTCGACATGCTTGGCAGTGAAAAGAGGATGTGGACACCTGCTGAGGCTGCGCCAGGCGCGGCGCAGGGGAGCACATCCAGCCGGTTGTGCGTAGGAGATGAGTACGCGACGCGCCGACGAGAGCTGTTACTTTCCCTCGCCTCAACTCAGGAT